AGGACAAATTCGGGAATTTTAATGGGGACGGGGACGGTGATCAACGGCTCGGCCCGATATGTATATATATATATATTGATTTTAATATATATATATATATATATAATCATTAAAAAATAATAACATTAAAATTTAAAAGACTTTTATTCACTTTACCTAAACAACCAAAATAAAACTCACGAAAAAGTCTAGTTTATTTTTTCTAAAATCGTGATTTTAGTTTATGATGTTTGAATTTCTGTTTAGTTCTATATTGTAATTTAATATATTGTTTATAATTGATTCGATTATGTTTGAGACATTTAAACTTACATTTTTAAAAAAATTGTAATTTGCTTTTAATTGTGAAAATTAGCAAATTGTAATTTTTTTTCAGATCGGTTTCGTGTTCTGTTATAACCAACGGTGAAAAAGATGATTTTTACTCTTAACTGGTTCCCCAACGAGGATCAGAGAAACCGTGGGGACCGATAGGGATCCCGGATAAGATCTCCAACAGGGATCGAGACGGTTACGACGATGGTTTTAGGTATCGGTCTCGGAAACGGAGATACCAATACCCAGACCGAACCCGATCCATTACCATTGTTATTTGTATAAGACGAATGTTAAAATTATAGATGATGAAGTTTTGAGGGGATTATAATAAAAAGAAAAAGGGGAAATGTTAATTGGATGTAAAAAGGGAAGGGTGACTTTGCGCGTTGTCTCCTCTAAGACACGCGAACAAGAGAAAAGTTAAAAAGACATTTTGACTTTTTTCCCACAACCCAAAAGTCATCACACACCATTTCCATTTCCATTTCCATTTTCATTTTCATATTTATTTCTTAATAATATATTTATTAAATATTAAAAATCTAACAAAAAAAATATTAGTTTTGATATGGTTACAGATTAAAATCTATAATTTTTTTAAATATATATTGTTTTTATATACAATAAATACAACAAATAAACTTACACACCCTTCTTACATTTGATGATATTTGAACCCCTTACCTTTTAGAAGACCAAAGACTACGATACTGTTAGGACAAAGATCATTTGATTATAAATTTTAATTTCAAATTTAAAATAAATAATGAATGAAAAGTAAAGATATTGTTCCCTCCCACAACACAAAAATTAGAATGAATGGGGGCATGATGATGAATAATAAGGTCAAAATGGATTGCATTTTTGTTTTTTTTCTCCATAATTTCTTCACTTTAAAGTGTGATGGGATGAATATCCTTCCACTTTGTCTCCTTATTTTCTTTTTTCAAATAACAAATTTATACTGGGAAAAATTTGGGATCATGTGAAATCAGGTTGTTTTTTAAAACCCATGAGACTATATTTTTACACTTGAAATTTCACAGTAAAACACTGTAAAGATTTGGATTTTTTTTACCTTCACAATGTTTTGTTGCGAAATTTCAAGTGTAGAAATATGGTCTCACGAATCTTACATAAATAGGTTGGTCTCATGTAAATCTTACCATATATATATATATATATATATATATATATATATATATATATATATATATATATATAGACTTGGGATCATGTGAGATCAAGAGTTTTTCATGAAACTTGTAAGACAAATTCTCAACCTTTTGATTAGATCTACAATCTAAACATTCATAATCACAAAATTGTCACTGTGCAACTTTAGACCATTAGATCATTAGCTTATAAAGTTGATCAATGAACATAAATTGGTCTCATGAGTCTCACGTGAACCCAACCATATATATATATATATATATAGGGTTGGGTTCACGTGAGACCAGCCTGTTTTCGTGAGACCCGTGAGACCACATTTTTACACGTAACCTTCACAGCAAAAACACTGTGAAGGTTTAAAAAAAGTCGAACCTTCACAGCATTTTGCTGTGAAGTTTCAAGTGTAAAATGTTGGTCTCACGGGTCTCACGAAAACATGCTGGTCTCACATGATCCCAAGTCTATATATATATATATAAGAGTAGGGATATAGTTTAATTTAATTTATTAGAGTAAGCTACAAACCTGGTACATGTGGTTTGTTGAACATAACACTTTTTCGTCTCTACAGTTTCGCAATTGCAAGATATCCATTATGGTTCGCGAAAACACCCCCATTTGGTCCCTTATTCTAGTGACCGTTAAAAAGATTCGCTAAATGAAAACCATTTTATCGATTTTTTCCCTCTTTCAATCAATCAAAATATATTTTTATCGTTTTGGCCCCTATGGTTCTTGATCGGTAAAAAGTAAAAAATTGATAAAAGGACCAAAATACCCATCATTAACATAATTTTTAACGATCATTGAAAGAGGAAATCAAATCTGGACGTTTCTGTAAACTACAATGACCATATTTTGAAACTATAGGGACTAAAAATGTAGTTATCAACAAACTACAAAGACCAAAATTGTAACTTACTCTGACTATAATAACATTTGTTGTTACATGTGACTTTTGTCATGAGCCATTGCTTTTGATTTTCGTTTTTGTGTCATAGGAAAAGAATAAAAGAAAGAGTGGTCTTAAGTGGGCCCATACTGAATCTTGGTCCAATCAGCCCATTTTCACAGGCCCCACCCCACCCACACAACTCTTATACTCTTGACTCTTGCCTAAATGTATAGAAATTCAACAAAATTTGCTAAAATCCGCACTATAGATCTATTGGTAAGCGCTTATTGGATAAAAGCGATCATTCTAACTCACCGAGTTAGATACTGGGTCATTGTTATTGTTTTTCGAGTAAGATTCTCAATTCTTGTTATGTTCATCCGATAAGGTAAAGTGACCCGGTAAACGGATCGTAAACGACCCCCTTAGATTACCAATGAATCCATTGACTCCATATGGAACTTGTCTTTAAAGACAACAATTTGGGGACATTCGCAACTCACTGAGGTGTCACTTGTGAAGGTAGCGATATTTTAGAAATTCCCGGTACTCCTCTTCTTAGAGGAAAGAAACCACTCGCCCCCTGTGACTGTTACAGATGTACGGGAGTGAGTGGTTTCTTAGCTTATTCACAAGTCACTAAAATGTCACTTTTGAAGGTAGTGATATTTTAGAAATCCCTGATAAAAAAAATAATTAAAACATTAATTTGATTTTTAAAAATAACTATTTTGTTGAACTTTCCATTAATATATTATTAAATATTAATTGAGGTTGTGTCTTCAAGTGGAGAGTTGGGCCCACCATTGGATGTGAATGTGAGCCAACCACATACACCCCCACCCTCTGTTTCTCTTTCAACCTTTGCTTCTATATCACACTTATCTTCCTCAAATACTTTAAAAACTATTTACATGTTTATTATAAATATATTATTCAATATTTTTAAAATTATTATTATAAATCGTATAATTATCTATGATAAAACCTTTATGGTCATAGAGGTTCATCTGCGATGATCCCAAACCCATAGACAATCGTTTGTAAGACTAGTCGGTGCACGTAAACTGATCTAAACACCTATAATGATCCAACGGTACCTGATGATCTTGGGTTTGTAACAGAAAACTTATAAACAGTTCATACAATCTTGTCTTAAAATATCATGTATGAAACAAATCAGATAAATGTAGCTATAAGTAGGGGTAGATGGGTAATGTTGCATTTAATTGGAAGTAGGAGATGTCAATTCAACAATCCGTAAAAGGAATATGTGGTTGTATGAAATTTGTCATATCAATTTATGACTGTCTAGTACTTGAGTTCAGGATGGAGACTCTTCCTTCCATTCCATTAACAAATTAATAGAATTAGAAATTAAAGATTTTTTTTTTTATTAACCTGGATATCCAATTTGTTATATGAGTCGACTAATTTCAAAACAATCACCTGCTTTGTAGATAACACGAAGTCATCTCATTTGAACCTCCGTGGCCATAAGAGGATTTTTATTCCTCCTGGTACTTTTGACTTTTCGAACCAAGCTCAAACCAATCAGACATCACCCTTATGGTTAGAAATTAAAGAATTACAAACGGTAGGGAACGTAATTGAATTGATTTCAATGAGAAGTACGATAAATTATAATATAAAACGAAAATAATAATAAATTGTATATTATATGGATGAAAATTGTAATTATTTAAATTTACATGTTTCAAACGACGACACCGTTTGACCATAAGAAACTATCATTGGTATGTTGTTTAGTTCAATGCTTTTCATACGCGAGGTCTTGTGTTCAAATCTCTTATTGCAAAAAAAGAACAAAAATTTAGAAACATAATAAATCTGAAATTAAAAGATAAAATTTAAGAAAACGACACTAACGGAAATCGAACTTGGGTCCAGGATAGAAGAAAAACCTTGTAAACCAACTCTCTACCAAGGGAAACTTATGTTTGCATTGTAGTTTCAAAATATATATGGTGGTGTACAACAATTTGATACGGTGACATTTTTCATGACTTTATAATTTTTACTCACCGTCAGAGGGGAAAAAAACAATGGCATGGGCCATCCTATGCTCCACATTGGGTCCATTCTTGATATAAGACGTTCAAGATTGTATACGTATTGGAAAAAAAAAACAGTCATAAACGTTTCACATATAAAATAATATTATACAAACATTGCATTTTTACACGTATTTATTTCAGCAACTACTATGTACGAATTATTGAATTTGTAAACGAAAGATGATACGTACATGACCCTATACATTTTTTGTCCAAAAACCTTATTCTTGTAAAAGCATAATGTTTCTTGTTGCTACATTTTTGCAACAAAGGGCCAAAATCATGTGAAAGATCAACACCAATCAAATCACAGAGACCAAACAACCCAAACAAAAATCGTATAAAAGATCCACCAATAGATAAGCCACGAATATCAAAAAACCGACAAAATAATAACGACCAGTTTGATACATAGATGAGACTGGACAAGACTAGACCCAAGTAAGAGGGTATTTTAGGGTTTCTATTCTATCATGGATAGTTTAGTAATTTACCAATTTTATCGGAAGAAATAGAAAATAAAATTAAGAGCATAGAAGGAAAAGCTACTGTTACATTACCAAAATTTGATACATCTGGTGCTATCTCAACTGGTACACCAATCGTTTTAACTTTTCGTTTTCAAAGTGCATGAATATATTTAGAACATATGCCATTGGAGAAATGATCATTACCTCAATGAGGAGGTTTCACAACACCAATCATTAAGAAAACCCATATCGATTATCACCGTCATAATTTCAGATTGTCCAGGCATTTAACAGCTTCGCATTCGTTTTTGTTGGAAGGCTCGTCTTTCTTAACTGGAGGAGCAGAAAAAACCGGCACAGCTTGCCTTATACAGATCGGTGGTGCAATCTTTACAGGTCTAGGTTGCATCACCTGGCGGTTAGGCGATGGCGGCATTGGTGGTGCGGAGAAAACTGGCACTGCTGTTCTCATTGTGACCGGTGGAGCAAGTCCCTGGTGTGGTAACCTGTACCGGTGTACCTGCGGTAGGGAAATGTAAGGGGATGGACTAGCGGCAGGGAAATGTGGCGGGCGGATGGGATGGTTTTGGTGGGGTGATGATGAGGATGATGGCTCATGTGGTGCAGGAGATATGGGCCTGTTCTGGGTGGTCATAGGCGGCACAGCCTTCCGGTAGAACAGTGGAAGTATTTTAGACGTGGTCAATGGCGGTCTCTGAGGGCTCGGTGGGCGTGGGGCGGGTGTCGTGAACTTCTTCTGAAATGGTATTGGGAGGTCACTGTAGTTTGCTGTTCCAATCTTTTGCTTCAGTCTGTAGTTCAAAAGTGCCCTTGCGATTCTAATTTGTTCCTGTTCATCACTGTTCTCTGGTTCACTCGAAGAACTTGCATCTTGCTTCGCCACTGCCCACACAAAAAGAAGAACAATTAACCAAAACATATTTCTCAACGACTAAATCGAACCAAACAGGTACATCGGGACCGAGGGTGGGATATAACGGGTTTGTTTGACCATAATGGTCAAATTATAACCGGTACAAATGGAATGGTGGGACTCACACTGTTTCAAAGATGACCAAGCTGCCATGGCAGCATTTTTTTCTGCTTGTTTCTTGTTTTTGGCATGTTCACCAGTGAATGTGATTCCAGCCAGTTCCACCATACCTGTAAAAACAGGTAGGTGTCCAAGGCCAGACCTGTAAGTTGTATACCGTGGCAACGGCGCACCCACTCGTTGTGAAATCTCTTGTAAAAGATTCTTGTAAACCCCGGTTTCATCCTGCAATACGTTACTCATCAATCAAACAAGAACACAAACAGAAGAAATATCGTCTATAATTCTTTTTGAAGTATATATAATATACAGCAAATACTCGCACCCTTCTCATTTTTGATGAGGTTTGATCCCTTGATGCCATGACGGTTGGGCTCTACCGGTAACCCGGATACTGTTAGGTTAATGACTTTATGGTATTATTGTCAATTATTTGGACTATTAAATGTCAATATATTCATCTTTTACCATATCTGGTGGATGGAAACCAGAAAGAAGTCAATTGTCAGCTTGCTATGTACAGCATATACGAGGGAAGATGTTTTACTGCAAATAATTCTTAAAAAACCTCAATTCGAACTTTGATTACCAAGGACCTAATTGTTAGCAGCTTAATGAGCTTTATGGAACTCATAGCTTATTCGATCGGCTATACATGTTTGGTATCGGCTTATTAGGAGTGGCTTATTCAGTAAGCTTCTAGGAGGAGCTTTATGCAGAAAGCCAGTTTTTCCAAACCTGACCCTCTCAATTAAAAAGCACGTTCCTTCGATATTTGAAAAAAATCATCCCAAACAAAACCTTCCCAATCTATATTAATTCACACAGACAACTTTATCCATACAAAACTTAATGGAAAACCAACGAAACAGCCCCCCAAGTCATCTAGAAGTACAAAAAAAACCAACAAATTTTGTTTAAATTAAACCAGATTAAATTATACTAATCAAGATTAAAGAACTAGGAATTCGATGATCCTATAATGTCCAAGGGAATTCACACTTGAAAGTATCATGATACCATCTTCTGCAAGAGTATTACAACTAACCCAGAAAAGACGATAATAAGATGATCATAACAGTGATAACAGTTTAAATCAAATCAACAAATGAAATTAAAGAGCATGTATAAATCGAAGTCAATGGAAGCAATAAATACCATGATCCCAATACAAAATGGGCAGCAGGGCACATGCATGCTGCAACAAAGCATTTATAAGCATAGTTAATTTGGGGAGACAAAGGCTATAACTCCTAATCTGCTCAATCAATAACTTTCCCATGTGCCTGTTTTTTTTCCAAAAAGAATATCCTTTATTTTTCATGATTATTTTTTAAACTTTTCTTTTTTGATTTTATGAATTAGGAAGTCACCCATGTACATAAACTGCAAGTGCCTTACTATTTGAATGAAGACAATTTCAAACTTCTTATATCGACATCCAAATGGTCAATAATTCAAAGTGTTCATACCTATACCGACCCTTTTTTTATAAAAAATACTCCATCCATCTCAAGAAAGTCAACTTTGTAACTCTTCTTTCTCCAGAAATAACCATATTGCAACTTTTACCATCAACACAAATGTGTAAGTTCAATATCATCGTAAGTTTATCAAAAGAATTAGCCAAATACTTCATTTTTTTGAATCTGTGTTGAATATGTTCCTACTTACGGTTGCCCCATTTACTATGCAAATTTCATTAGTTCATTATCTCATAAAAAAAAGCATATGAAGAACATAAACGTTACACTGGAGAACAGTCTCCCATCTATCAATGGCCTGCTTTACGATGCCTAACATGTCTTGCCCACCTTTTCCCTCTTAAAACAATCATCAACTTTCTTAAACTACCATACTTGTCTTTGATATTAATAAACGTCCATTCTTGTATGCAAAAAGAACACCACACATTGCAAAAAATGAGTATTAGACATAAAGTGTCAAGTTCAATGATATTTTTAGAAGTTATATATTCATTAATTTCTCAAAGATTGTTGGTTCTTGCACACTACAGTGTTTCTTGCCATTTAAAAAAAAGATGATCAATTTGCAATAAAACAACAAGTAGTACAATGTTCAGAAAGTGATGACATGAACAAAAAGGATAAAACGTTAACTTTATCTTTGTTATTTTCTAAGGACGGATGGAACATGTATATATCAAATCAAATATAAAGATTGGGCATAAAGTCAGTAAACCCTCGAACCTAACAAAGATGTTGACCCTCATATATCAATTCTATCTTAACACCGAGCACATTGAATTGACTAGCAATTACTAGAATGCACTTTGAAATTTCCAACCACTGAAAATTATTTGCAGATACCCACTAAAACGTATTGATTTTGCTATTAAATGCCACATGCATAAATCACTTGTAACTTGACCAAACTTTGGATGGTGTGAAATGCCTCTCTTACATTGACCATGCTAGAGAACAGTTGGTACAAATACTTATGGTGCTTTATCTGTATTTTATGACCAAAATACCCTTTCACCCAAGGAGCTAATTACACAAAATTGACACAGCCCAAAGAAGTTTGGATTGGTTATCTCTTTTACCATGAGATGATCACAAGAAATTGCATGATGATGCATTATTAGAAGGTATAATACAACTCCTAAATGCATTCTGATTGCAGTTTGAGGTGCTCCTAATCCTTGTTAAAAAAAAACCAAGCATCTAATATATGAAATCCCACTAGATTCAGAACAAAAGGGATATGGGAAAGAGGTATTTTGGTAAATCGACTCAAGAAGGTTATCTAATTACCATGGCAACAATCTCTCAAAATAAAAACAAGAAAGACCACCGAAACGGCGCACGGTAGCACTTTCCACCACCAAACGCCTAAAAAGACTAGTAAAGCAGTTCTATTTAAGGTCAGAAATGATTTCAAGAAAATTAGAAGAAAAGCACTTACGAGGATCCTGGCGGCGAGGGATTGGGATGAAAGGGAGCAAAGCGCAACCTCGGCGGCGGCGTGCTCAGCCTGGCGGAGAGTGGAGAAATAGTTAGGGCTTTCAAAGGAATCTCCGTTGAAGTTGACGACGGCCTTGAACCTGGGTGCGTGGTCAGGTCCTTCCCGGATGCAGGTGTAGGATGGAAGGTTGAAGCAGCTCCGCTGTGCCAGCTCTTGCAGCTGATTCTTATACATCTCCACCAATTACAACCCTCTTTCTTTCTGTATACCCAACTTGTATATATATGTTGGTGAGAACTGAGAGACGAGGCGACAGGAGAGTAGAATGGTTATGGCGGAGAAATGGGTGTTTGCCAGTTGTGGAGGGGGTGTTTGGAATTGGAAGACCGGTGTGGCGGAAATTGGTTTAATGGACGGATATAAACGTTATTAAGGCTTTCCACCCCCTCCTTTTCCCTTGCAATTGCATGGATGTGATTTTTGATTCATTCTATTTCTTTAGGCATGTTTATTTTGTATAAATAGTATTATATTTAAACAAAAAATTTGATTACCGATAATCTTAATTGATATCATACGAAACTCATCTTTAAAAATACAAATATATTATATTAAAGAAAACTAAAAAGCATTTATTTTTATGTAAACCCTGATCAAGAATACCCTTTTTATTTCATTAGATGTAAAACCAAATAAAAAGTCAATATTTAATAAGAAAAAGGTACGCATAAAAATGTTATAAAAGCCAACATATTGGGTTCAAAAGATGTGTAATATTTGAAATGGAGTGGGGCAATGATGAAATGAAGCAGCACTAGCAAAAAGAGAGTCATCTTTTTGTTTTCTTGGCATATTGGTGTTAAATGTGATAAGAGTGGGGGGTCCAAAAGGCATACCTTCATTGGATGCCTCCAGCTCCCAATGCTTTTAACTCCACCCATTGCTATTGCGTCCATATTACCAGCATACTTCCATTCTCTCCACCAACTTTATCATTTCTTAAACTTATTAACAAAAAATTCAAATCAAACTAAACAAAAATAAAGAAGTTTCTAATCAGATAAATCAAGCCAAAACAAATTAAATGAATAAAAAAATTATATAATCAGTTAAATATATTTAGTTTCCGTCGAACGTATTTAATCTATTTAACTTATCGACTAACAAATAGCTTAACATTTAGTTTGACAAACATAGTCTTAATCATTAATGAGCAAAATTAAATATACCACCATACCATGCACGTCAAAACAACATAAAAGTTGTTGACTTAACAAAATCTGACCAACCCACTAAACTATGAAATACGTTAATACAAAAATGATAGAAGACCCCTTCAAATTAGCATTACATCATTCACAATAACCACCAAGACTTTACAATTTCGTAACCTTTGTTATATTGACAAATAAATCATTATTTTCTTGTAGATTCATCACTGTCCTATTCTAACTTAGCTGTCAATTTCAAAATTTCTAGAATTGGGTTTTTTAAAATAAATCGTCGAAATGCATTGGGGAGGCAAACATGTTCCAGAAAAGTGATTTAAAGCTTATGCAAGCACTTGAGTTAATAACTACTATTTTTCTTGTTGACTTTGACCAAATACCTAACATTTGATCAACTCCAAGTATCAATCACTTTCTTGTGGACTTTTGAGCACAAGCTGGCTTTTAAATCTATATATGTTCATGCTACTTTCAAGCCATACTATGGAGTCTTTACACCTTACAGGCCTCAATCAACATAATTTGCTGTATGACATATAGGCTGATGTATTTTCATATAAAGGGCTAATATATTCTCTATTCCTTATCTTGTACAGCTTTTGGTGCTCCTGTCCTAAAGATCCTACCCCCACCAAAACATAATCTAGGGAAGACAAAATGGCTACAACCAACTTTCCAAAAACATACATGCATACAGAATCAAGAGTGATTTATTTATGTAATAATTGTATTTGATATTCTGTATCAAAATAATAATTAAAAACTGAGAGAGAAACAGAAGCATTGTGATTGCAGCAGACAAACCTACACAGATTGAAAATCATATAAGCCTTGTTTATGGAAGACTAACGTCCTGTTTACCAAATTCTTACTGGGTAAACACTTACTGACAAGAGTTATCGCCCTCACTTACCTTATCGGGTAACATTCTCGGTCATCAAAATGGATTGTGGTAAGCGTTTTTTACCCGGTACGTGCTTACCAGGTAAGAGTCTCTCCCTTACTCACCCAGTAAGATTCTCGGTCCTTGCTATGCCTTTTACCGGGTAAGATTCTCCGTCCTTGCCATACTCATTGATAAGGTAAGTAATGTGTGGTAAGCGCTTACACGGTAAGAGTTTGTTAAATGGCTCCTAAGAGCTTGTTTACTAAACACTAACAGCTCCTGATCAGGTAAGTATTGCTGCCACGGTAAGAATAATGTTTACGCATACCCTCTGACCCACAATGTCTGACCGAGATGCTCTGCCAGTAAGGATCAAGAGCTTCACTTAGGGGCCGTTTACCAAATACCATGTAAGTGCTTACTGGGTGTCACTTACCTTCCGGGTAAGCATAACAAGGACCTAGAATCATACCCGGTAAGAGGCATAGCAATAATTGAGAATCTTACCCAATAAGTGAAACGCTTACAAATAATCCATTTTGATGACCGAGAATGTTACCCGATAAGGTAAGTGAAGGTGGTATTTTTACCGGTAAGAGCTTACCCAATACTCGATTAGTCTTTACCCAATTGTGTTGGTAAACGACCTTTAAGAGTGTGATCACGAATTTCTCCAAAACAACGAGAAGGAAAAAAAGTGAGTGAATGTGACCTGTCAAAGTAAGATTTCACCATCTCAACGACTGGTATGTCCTATACAATCTGCAAATATTAAAACCCCAATAACAGCTCCAACCATGCGGGGAAAGAAAACAACTTTGAGCTAAAATCAAAATATGCCACCGACGTTCATTTCGTATTTAGCATGATTACCTTTTCTGTTGTTGAGTACCATTTATAAGAGATGACTGAAGATACTTATTGATCCAGATAAAAATGTTGAACTATATGAGGTGCCAAAATCCACATATACCTTCAAACGCTTTGCAAAATGGCAACAAACACTTGACTTGGAGAGGATCAATTCAAGATAGATCCTGTAAAACAGTAAAAACCAATTACATGTGTTAAAAGCAATGAGCATGAAAAAGGACTATAAGCAACCAAGATGAAAGTTCTTGTTGGATCCAAAATAAAGCCAGAGTCCTTCACCATAGCAGTTACCAAACTTCTTCATTGGAGAGGTGAAAACATAAATATGCATTTAAAGAGCTGACATGGAAACTCAAAATATTTCAAACATTATGTATATGCAATCTTTAAGAGTTTAAGATGGAGAACGACCTTGACTCATACTGAGCAACATTAAGTACCTATCAACCTGCAATATACGCACAATTTAGCACCCATTTCATATCTTATATTTATATATTACATAATGCAACGTAATTACAAAAAAGAATAATTCTAAAAAGCTAATACGATCCAGTTTTCTGTGCATTTTTAGTTGCATGAAGATAACTCTCTTAAAATTATACTTGCACACTCTCAAGATAATGAACATAAGGGTACAGAAAAGCCATGGTGTTAGTACTTAGCATCATGGCAAACGTACGGGCAAGAATGATTCAGATGTCCTGCGTCAAGAAGAGAAAGTTTCCAGAGTGATTAAAAATCCAACGTTATATTTTTTCTCGTTCGTTATATGATATGATGAAGAAGAAAATAAATCACATTTGAGTCGTAATCAGTCACAAGAATAGCAGCAGCTATGAACATGGTCATCTGGATGATATAGCCTTAGGTAGCATTTGGTTTACAGGATTGGATTGAATTTGGAGGGATTTGGAATAGAATTCCATTCCGATCCCATGTTTGGTTTGAAGGATTTCATGGATTTGGAATCATTTAATTGAAATCCCCAAGCATAGGATTTTGAAATCCCATGAGGATGGTATTTCATAGGATTTGTATGTAATGATGGTTTAAAATATTTTAAGAACATTTATTTTTTATAATCAATTAATAAAAAGATAATTTGATTATTATTATGATTATTAATTATTTTTTAATAAGTTATTTATAAAAAATGAAATTTAAATGTCATTCCAATTCCAAATCCTTAAATGAAATCCAAATCTTTGAAAACACATCCCATCAAACCAAACACTCCCTTAGGTAAAGCAACAAAAATTTCTATATTATATGGATTAATGAGAGAAGAGAAGACAACGACATACATTCCTCCAAACAAAGATTTCATGTCAAATTTTGGATTCTTTGGCATATCTACTTGTACACCTTGTAATAGTAAGTATAATCCGAATTAATATAAAAAAAAACACAATAAGGCATGATCTGATAAATTTAACGAATTTGTTGCAACAAGCAGTTAAGTAAGGAAGCATGTGAGATACAGATCTCAGAAAACTGAAAGAAATATAAAGATATTATTACCTAGCCATCAATCAACTTCAGTTGCGTTTGCGCCCAAAGTGACGCGTAAGACCAAAGGGCCTTTGGCCTAGCAGTATTCAGGTTATCGTTAGAGTCCGACCTCCCAAGACGTCTAGGGTTCAAAACTCACCAAATGTGAGGAGGGTGTGTGAGTTCATTTGCGGTATATAAATATTACATACTTTAAAAGAAAAGTGACTCGTAAGGTTCTTCTTCATAGTCACTCTGTTGGAAGTCAGAGAACAAAGAAAAGTGCTGAAGGAATGCTTGTAGATTACTAAAAACAGAGGGCTATAAATAGCCACGTACATAACAGAAAAGCAAAASAAACTCCATTCTCCCTAAAGAATAGGACTTATTGACTAATAGCAACAACCAAAAAAGACTAATTCAAAACTAGTAAAGATAACAGCTAATTTATTCTAACATTCCCTCCCTTAAGCTAAAGCATCTGTCATCACAGCCTGCATTTAGCTTACTTTTGTGATCTCAGTTACTCCAAGCATACTTCGAAGTCTTTCAAACTGCTCCAGCTTCAATGGTTTTGTCATCATGTCTGCAAGCTGATCATGAGTGCTGCAATATCTTAGCTCAACAACTTTATCAGATACTAGTTCCCTTAGAAAATGGAACCTTACATCAATATGCTTGCTTTTACCATGAAACACTGGGTTCTTTGATAGCTGTATGGTGGAACTGTTATCACACATAATAATAGTTCCTTCTTTATCTTCAACTCCTAGCTTCTCCAGAACCCTCTTGAGCCAAATACTTTGACAGGCACACAGAGCTGCTGCTATATATTCCGCCTCCGTGGTGGACAAAGCAACTACCGGTTGTTTTTTTGAAGACCACGATTTCCCAGCATAAACACAAAACCAGAAGTACTTTTTCGATCATCAATATCACTGGCATAATCGCTATCTGTGAATCTTGTAAGTTTAGTGCCACTTATTCCTCTTCTATAGAAAACTCCCACATTTGTTGTTCCTTTTAAATACCTCAGAATTCGTTTTGCTGCGAGCCAATGCATCATAGTAGGACTGAACATGAACCTACTTATCAAACTAACTCCATACATCAGATCTGGCCTGGTTGCAGTTAAATACATCAGACTCCCAACTATTTGTTTGAAAGGAGTTCCATCAACTTTTTCACCACCCATATCTTTCGAAAGCTTTGAGCCTGGTACTATAGGATTCTTCACTGCATTGCTATTTTCCATACCAAATCTTGCTAATATTTCTAGAGCATACCTTCTCTGTCCAATGAAGATTCCTTCTGAACTTTGTCTTACCTCAATACCAAGAAAGTGTCTCATCTTCCCAAGGCCAGACATTTCGAACTCCATCATCATGGAATTCTTAAACTCTTCACACAAAATCCTATCATTTCCAGTAAATATCAAGTCATCAACATACAAACTCACAATTAAAAGCTTACCTTCTTTTGACTTTGTGAATAAAGTATGTTCACTTGGACATCTATCAAAACCTTCTCGTACAAAATAGGCATCAATTCTGCTGTACCAGGCCCTCGGGGCCTGTTTAAGACCATATAGTGCCTTCTTCAACCTATAAACCTTTTCTTCCTCTCCTTTCTTGATGAAGCCTTCGGGTTGTTGTACAAACACCTGCTCCTTCAGCTTTCCATGAAGGAAAGCACTTTTCACATCAAGTTGAAAAACTGTCCAACCAAACCAAGCAGCTGTTGCAAGTATCATTCGAATGGTGTCAAGTCTTGCTACTGGAGCAAAGACTTCAGTATAATCAATTCCATAACGTTGTGCATAACCCTTTGTCACAAGCCTTGCTTTGAACTTTTCTATCTCCCCATTTTCATTGAGTTTGGTTTTGAACACCCACTTAACTCCAATGGGTTTAATTCCTTTAGGCAGACCAGTAAGCTCCCAAGTTTATTTTTTTCTATGGCTTCAATTTCTGCTAACATTGCTTCCTTCCACTTCTTATTTTTAACAGCCTACTCATAAGTTACCGGATCACTTTCAGCAACCATCATCACATTTAAGTTTTCTTCTTCATCAAGTGCTTCACCAGTGTCAAAATCAGCCATCCAAACTGGTGCTCTTCTGTCTCTTCGTGTCCCCCTCCCTTGAGATGATTCTCCAAGTGATAGATTTGCAGGTGTGCTGGTAGCACTAGTGATTGCATTGTTGGGAGTCGATTCATCACTTTCTTCATCAACGCTGCTCGAATCACTTTGATCTTCCTCTTCAAATATGTCATATGCCCATTCTAATGGTGTTTGTTGAGTTTCTGGTGTTGCTGCACCCCAATCCCAACTGGCCTCTTCATCAAAAAACCACATCTTTACTGTTAAGAACCTTCTTCGAGTCTGGATCATATAGCCTCCATCCTTTGGATTCATCACTAACCCCCCAACAAAATACACTTTCTGCTTTTGTCATCTAACTTGCTCCTCTTTTGGTCTGGTATGTGTACATGTGCTACACATCCAAACACTCGAAAATGATCTACCCATGGTTTCTTTCCACTCCAGGCCTCTTCTGGAGTTTTGTTTTCAACCGTTGCTGTAGGACTTCGATTCTGAACGTGCACACACCATTTTACAGCCTCGGGACAAAAGGTTTTAGGAACACATTTTTCATTTAGTACTGAACAGACAACATTCATAATTGTTCTATTTTTTCTTTCGGCCACCCCATTTTGTTGGGGGGTATAGGCTGTTGTTAGTTGTCTCCTAATACCTTGTTTCTTACAGAATTCTGTAAATTCATTTGAATTGAATTCACCACCCCTATCGGTTSTTAAGCAGATTATRCCCATGCCCACTTCTTTTTCAACAAAAGCCTTATAATTCTTGAAAATTRCAAGTGCTTCTGATTTCTCAGTTAAGAAATAAACCCATGTYTTGCGTGAAAAATCGTCAATGAAACTTAAAATGTACCTTTTGTTGCTGTTTGAGGCTGGATCAATAGGACCGCATATGTCTGAGTGCACCAGCTCAAGCTGTTTTGACGCCCTCCATGAACTCTTCTTAGGGACAGGTCGCTTATGTTGTTTCCCAGTCAAACAAGTAGTGCATAATTTCTTTGGGGATTTAATCGATGGTAAACCAGATACCATTTTCTTGTAGCAGAGTGTTCTTAAACTTTTGTAATTCAAGTGGCCGAATCGACAATGCCATAGTTGTGCTTCCTTTTCTGACACACCTTCAGCTTGAAAACACACGTGGTTTTGTGGTGTTGTGACTGATAAGTAGAACATTCTGTTTCTACTCATGTTGCTTAGCATAATTACTCCCCTTGTAGGATGAAAAACCTTGCAAGTTCCATGTTGAATTAAGATGGCTAACCCTTTTTCTTGTAGCTGTCCTATACTCAGCAGATTGTTTTTCAACTCTGGGATGTAATAAACATCAGAAAAAACGTGTGTTATGCCACCAATTTGCACCCTTACATTTCCTTTAGCTACCACAGACATCTTCATATCGTTCCCAAGTCTTACTGTCTGGCTAAATTCTTTATCTAGAGTTGAGAACCATTTCTTGTTACCAGTCATATGATTACTACAGCCCGAATCCAGAAACCATACCTCTTCCTGTTGTGCTTGATGTAGTTCGGTGCAAGTCATCAACAGTAGGTCTTCTTGTGCATCTTCCCCCGACTCGACATAGTTCGCCTTCTTTTCCCACTCAGGACACTCATACTGAAAGTGTCCCAACTTATGGCATTTGTAACACTCAATCATTGCTTTGTTGAATGATTGTCTGCCTCGTCCTCTTCCACGTCCCCCTCTCATTATACCTCGTCCCCTTCCTCGTCCAAATCTGTCCTCCTGGGCTACTTTCAAAACATGTTCCTCTTCAAGACTACCTTGCATTCTTTGCTCATGAACAAGGAGACTGCCATGCAACTCATCAATACTCAAGATACTCAGATTATT